AAAGAACCCAAATGGCAAACCATGCACTCTGCAACCCAAATCCACTCCTTAATATAGAGGCCTAAATAATTACCAAAATTACTGTTAGGGTTCCTTATCATAATACCACCCATAAATGAGCCCCAAACCTATTCTAACTCTTCAGGCCCCTGCATTACACAAGATGCTCGGCTTCCCGAGAACACGTGACGACCTGGGCTTGGTCTTAGGATTCAGGCCCCCGAGGTCTGAGAAGTTATCTTTTTGCGTTTCAGCCCGGCCTTAAACCCTGAACCCTAAACCCTAAACCCTGAACCCTAAACCCTAAACCCTGAACCCTAAACCCTAAACCCTGAACCCTAAACCCTAAACCGGTGCGAAATGGCGTGTTGAATCGTCTGCTTGTAGTACAAGGCGGAACTGAAAGGTCCAGGGGTTTAAGGTTCAGGGGCTCAGGGGGGTCTGCTGTAGGGTCCCTGGGTTCCCTAATACCCAACCTTTGCATTTTTGGGGTTCTTAGACTTTAGTAGTAGTCTGAAAGTTTCACCTATTATTTCCCTGGCTTATTGGTGAAGTAAGGGTCCTGAATGATTGGTGTGATATTGCCTGTATACTTCTCAAGCAGATCCCCGAAGCCCCACCCCAGCTATTTTGGCCTCTATGCTCATTGGTAACCCTATCCCGGTATTCTCCGCGTATATATATATGTATATATATATATGATATATATATATATATTATATATATATATATTAATTTATTTGTTTATATTTATATTTGTAATTATATGTATAAAGACTTGTAACTAAATGTGTGTATATATATATATACATATATACATACATGTATGTGTATATGCACAAATGCATAGGGATGTGTCTGTCTATACACACTGCTACTTTCTGAGAGTGCAACCGACACACCCCATACCTTATTCTAATCCATGTTAGCTACTCGGGGCCCTAGAAAAGGCGGCTGTGGGTGTAGCGGGCTTTGGTCTTGGAATACTTGCAGCGAGTTGCGATTTTAGGATTTCGGCCATGGAGCCTTCATGAATCCCTAAACCCTAAACCCTAAAGCCTACATCCCTAAACCCTAAACCCTAAACCCTAAACCCTAAACCCTACCGACACTGAGCGGAGGTAGTCGATTGCGCCCTGGGGCAAGGGGACCTTGAGTCGGACATCTTACTGGCAAGACGATACAAAAAGAGAACCCAATACCCCTTAATGAAGGAATATACCTTAGATCATAGTATTCAGGCCCCTAAACCCTAAACCCTAAACCCCTTAATTAAGGAATATACCTTAGATCATAATATTAAGGCCCCTGTAATTTAAGGTAGATTCTTCTTTAAGGGGTACGGGGGTTCTCTGGGTACAAGCCAGCCGTCCCGGGCAGAGATTTCTTCTCACGAACGGCAGACGGGTCTAAGAAACACAAAAACCGCAAAACCCCTAAAATCCTCCACCCTTAAGACCCTGAAACCTTAAACCCGTTAAGCAAACTTGAAACCCTAAAACCTTGAAAATGTTTGAAGCCCTAAACCCTATATAAACCCGACACCCCTAAACCCTAAACCCTAAATCCCTAAACCCTACACCCCTAAACCCCTAAACCCTACATCCTTCAATGGACTTCGCCCCAGGTTTCGAGACTCAGGCGAAGTCGTCGCTGCCTTTGGGCTGCACTGACTCCTGCAACTGCACGGCGCCTTGGCTTTTTTTGGAGGTTTTCTTTTGGGGCTTTTCTGATTTTCGAGAGTTTTTGGGAGGTTTTCTTTTGGGGTTTTGTCTGGTTTTCGGGATTGAGTCGAGGTTTTTGGGGTCTTTGAGTTTTAAGGTGTTGCTCTCTTGGAGTTTGATTTGTGGGTTAGGGTTTGGGGCTTTGGAGATGTTGGCCTGAGTTAGGCTTGAGGGTTTACGGGTTTCGGGTTTAACCTAATTTAGTCTAGCCTTCTTACAACATGCACGTAGAGGGTTGTAAGTAGATTCTGCAAGGCTGCGCTAACTGCATCCTGTATTATGGTAGCCCTAAACCCTAGACCCTAAACCCTAAACCCTAATCCTTACACCCTAATCCCTAAACCCTAAACCCTAATCCCTAAACCCTAATCCCTAAACCCTAAACCCTAAACCCTAAACCGGTTCTGAGGTTAGTGTTGGTCCCAGCAACCTGCAAGCTTTAGCATCCGAAACCAAGGCCCGACACCCGAAGCCCTCACAGGGTTTAGGGTTTAGGGTTTAGGGTTTAGGGTATCTACTGTTGATGATATAAATCCTGCATTACCTTAAGGACCCTAAACTAAGGTTCGTGTTCGCTTCTGGGAAAGGGTAGGGAGTGGGGTTACCTACGAGGTTCTTCTAGAAAGAAATCTTTTACTAGGTTTCTACTAGGGTTTTTCTAGAAACAGTCTTTTACTAGGTTTCTACCAGGTTTTTCTGGAAAAAATCTTCTACTAGGTTTCTACTAGGTTCTTCTAGAAAAAATCTTCTACTAGGTCTCTACTAGGTTCTTCTAGAAACTACCTTTTACTAGGTTTCTACTAGGTTTTTCTAGAAAAACCTAGTAGAAGCATCAACAGGCTGAAGGATTTGGTGGCCTTAGCCGTGGGCCTGCACCCGCCACGGGCAGCCTAGCAGCAGCAGTCGTCAACACCAATTTCGCAGAATTCAAGCAGAACCAACATGTGCTCCTGCGGACCGTGGACGGGATACCAGCAAACTTGGAAGCACAGCAAACAGTCACCGCTGCCGACTGAGAATCAAGCTGCATGACCTGAACAATGAAAACGGAAGACATATTGTAGGGGCCTCAAAACTTACCAATACTATTTTGGGAGCTCCTGATTACAAATCTAGTATAATTCACCCTAAAAACCTTATTCTAATTATAAAGGCCTCTAAAAGCTAAGGGGCCCATAAAACACCTTGACAAGAATCTTTTTGAATCTTGAACTTTAAGCCTCTAGTTCATGCTAGGAACCCGACCGAAATTTTTAAACCCTAGATCCTAAACTTACAAATTTATTTAGACCCGAACGCTCCAAGACCTAAATCCAAAAGGCTGAGCCCTGTGGACACTTAGATCCCAAGCCCTAATGTAGGGGCCTTAATAATTAGAATAGGGTTTTCGGGCCCATTATACTAACAGTTATAAATAACGAACCCCCAAAACAGTATTGGTAGTTCTCTAGGCTTCTATGTTAAGATGGGGCCAGCTGCTCTTCACGATCTCCGCCTCGGCGTCGTCTACCCCGTTTCCGGAACCTCACAAAAAATGCTGACAGACAAAAATCCTTGGTTGCCTTCAAAACACTGAACTACCGGATTTAGGAGAAAACCGATACTATGGGTAATAGTAATAGGATGATGTCCATCCGCCGCGAGCCGGAACGAACAAACAAAAACCACAAAAGTGTTCATGCGAATCATAGGCCAACAAGCATCACACTATGCTGGAAGCCAAAAGGGCTTTCGATGGTAAGGCTTTGCTCCAGACTACAGGCGTTCAGGGTTCAGTCCTTTCACCTCTGAGTAGAGCTTCCGGGGCTTCAGGGTGTGGTCAGCCAGCTGCTGAAAGGCCTTTATAACCAGAATAGGCTTTCTTTTCAAGGCCATTCAAAGGGCTCTGGGTTCCTCTTCTCCGGGGCCTTCATGTTGAGAATGGGGGTCTGGGGACGAAATGCACCGTGGACCTACGGAGGGATTACGAGGCGACAAGTAACCCTAACCCCCCCCAGGTCCTACTATAGGTACCTGGGGGGTTAGGGTAATACCAAATGTCAGACCTCTGTGCGCACGACTGTCGTGAATAGGGGCCACGCGCTTGGCAGATCGCATACAAACTCCTGCACCAACCTAATCACTGATTAATGGCAACAGTGGACCCCCACGAACCAGAATACCCTAAACCCTAAACCCTGAAACCAGTCCTCAAATCGGGAAGCCCTCAACCCTCAACCCTCAACCCTAAACCCTAAACCCTAAACCCTCAACCCTTTCTGAAACCCCCAAGTCAAGTCAAGGCCCGAACCTTGAGAGCGCTACATATGAGGGGGTTTCCGAAAATAGGGGACCCTAATATAGTCCCCTAAATAATAGGGTTTAGGGTTTAGGGTTTAGGGTTTAGGGTTTAGGACCCTAATATAGTACCCTAAATAATAGGATCCTTATTGTAAGGACCCCACAATAAGGTACCCTAATTTTCGGAAACTCCCACATGAAGGAAGCTCAAACCGTTTAGGGTTAAAGCTGTAAACCAACAGCTGCATCTCTTTGCGGCCTCCACTAAATTTCTGGTCGAAAGCGCCCGATGCCTATGCCAAGCGAATACTCTAGACCGCGGCGCTGAGGGTTCAGAATTGAAGGCACTTGGGGGTGTAGGTTTAGGTTTAGGACTTTAGGTTTTGGGTAGTTCTCTAAATTCGGGGTCCCTTTTAGGCTCCTTTTTATAAGGGTACCGTACCATGTTAGGGACCCACAAAGGGTCCCTGATTTAGAGAACTACCCATATGCATTCTGCACGCGAAAGCTCAGGTTCCAGGGCTCATTGTTGAGGGTTTACCCAAAGGCCCCATAGTTGTTCCTTTTTGGGATTACCTAATAGGATCCTAAATATAAGCCACAAAAAGGAACTACTATGCCTTTTTGGGATTACCTAACAGGATCCGACATATAAGGCACAAAAAGGAACAACTACTATGCGGCCTATGGGTAACCTTGAACTGCGCAGGCTTCTAGGCCGGACTTGGGGATCCGGGCTCAAGGTCTACGCAGCCTCCCAACCCCGAAGGAGCCGCCAAAAAGCGCTCAAAAACCCAGCCTTTCTAGAAAGCCTTATCATATATGGGGGGGTTTCTGAAAAGAGGGGATCCTAAGATAGTACCCCCCTAATATAAGCATCCGGAAATAAGCTACCCCTTATTTTCGGAAACTCTCATAATGGAACCCTAAACCCTAAACCCATACCCTGCAAAGGCCCTCCGGGCCTCCTCCGCAGCCATTGGATGCCTTCTGCTCTTACTTCCGAGGCTTCTTACCTGCGCTCGCGAGGGCCTTTGAGGCTTCCGTTCAGGCTGCTGTCAGATTTCCCTTCAAGAAGTGCCCTGAAGGTTTCTATCAGGGTTTAGGGGTTAGGGTTTGGGGGTTTTGGTTTAGGGTTTATAGGGTTTAGGGTTTAGGGTTTAGGGAGGTTAAGGAGTCTGTGCGGAACCCCTGCTTAGGGTCATACCAACCCTATGGGGATTTAACGCACTGCAGTTTAATAGGATCTTGGGGCTTTGAAGTTTTGGGACAAGGTGCTTTTCGGGTTTGTTGTGGATGCACGACTGGGGCGCCTTGGAGCTTGTGGTCTCGTTAAGCGTCGCTACATCCCTGTCTCTCTCCCTCAGCCGGCAGCCCCTCTGGCTCCAGGGCAAGCCCAAAACCCAAACCTAATTCAGGGTTTAGGGTTTAGGGTTTTAATGCTGAGCTCCATGAACATTAGGCGGCTGTAAGCCCGAACCCTCAATTTCAGTTTACAACAAGCAGGACAGCTTAACCCAAACCGATCCTTCAGGCTGGGTTGGATCTGTCAAGCACTCCTCAGCCCTAAACCCTAAACCCTAAACCCTCAACCCTAAACCCTAAAGCCAAAGCTGAAGCGTGAGCCTTCTAACCGGACAGGGCTCCAAGGTACCGAATGACAGTCCTTCAGCCCTAATAGGGTTTAGGGTTTAGGGTTCAGGGCTTAGGGTTTAGGAGTTTAGGGTTCAGCCCTAAGCCCAACACCTAGATCAAACTCTCAGATCCTGAAGCCCCAAGCGTTAAGCAGTAAACCCCTGCAGATCAGGCTTAGATTGCAGATACCCGTATAGCACCCAGGAGCAACCCTTCCCAGCTGGTTCGGGTGTATACTGTTGTCCGTTAAGCAAACAGCACTGGATACCTGAAGAGTCCAAGAACCTAACAGCAGTACGACAACACTTGCAACAGCCAACATAGTGAACCCTAACACAATCAACGAACACTTTGTCGACAGCTCTACAACAACATGCTGACCACAGAAGGTTAATCCATCCAATCATGGTCGACAAAACCCTACACCCCAAACTTGCCGTATGCCATCAGCTTCAAAGGAGAACAAGCTCTACATGGGTGTTGTCAAAATTATGGTCCATTTTTGGGTCATTTCTTCTAATACGGCACTTATTATTTAGGGTACCCCAAAAGGGACCATAATTTTGACAGCTACCCACATGTAAAACTCTCTGCCTGGCTTCCGCCCTCCAGCGCCAGCTTCCTCTGCTTGCCTCTTCTTCACGGACACGATGCCTGCAACGTCTCACCGGCCCAAGCTATGGGTGGTTCTCTAAATTAGGGTCCCTTTTGGGGGGGTCCTTTTTATAAGGGTGCCGTAATTATGGGGACCCAAAAAGTATGTAACATATAGTATACATTGGGTGGTTGTCAAAATTAGGGTCCCTTTTTGGGGGTCCTGATTATGATACGGCACCTATGATTTAGGGTACCCCAAAAGGGACCATAATTTTGACAACTACTCATAGAAGAAGGAGGGAGTCAGGATTCGAAGAGAGGGGTTACGGCCCTGTTCCTGACATGATTTTACTCTTGAGGTCAGGCCTCGGGGTGCGCTGGATGGACTTTAAGGGTTGCAAAGTCGGCGGCATGCTAGAAGCTCAAGGGTGTGCCTTTAGCGGTTTGATTTGTCCCGGTCGTATTGCAACCACGAAAGAACCCAAGATCTTCATCTCCAACCGCGACCCCTATTCAGCCCTATTCTCAAAGAGACGTACACCGCCGTCTTCCTGCACGCACTTGTTCTTGACAGAGGTTCCTCCTACAGGTCCTCTTCGGGTGAAGCACGTAAGGATCACTTAGTGGAAGCTTTTGGGCCTTTACTTAACTTAGATGCTGAGTTCATAAGCCCAGAAAAGTGTACACTTTCAGCTTTATAGTAGGTAATATTATCCCCAAAAGTGTAAAGTGTATCCACTCAGCTACTGAGTTAAAGATTTTTGAGCACCCCCTATAAACCCTAAACCCTAAATGAGGGGCCTTCTCTCGCAACGAGAGCGAACCGAATTCAAAACCTGCATCATGCACCTTAAGGGGTCAACGATCCTTCCCAAAATTTAGGATCCTTGCAGTATTGCAGGCGTCTACCCATCAGTAGTGTTACATCCTGTATTCTAGGGCCCACCTGAAGCTGGTGTGCTGCCACCAAGCGCTTCGGCAAAATCTTCCTCGGAGGCAGATCTCACAGCTCAGTCTCTATGAGGACATAGGGGGGATACCCACCACATCCTAAACCCCAATAACCTTGCTTTCCATAATCTCTGTAAAGACCCTCCCTATGAACCCCTCGGAAACGGATGGGCACCCTTTGACCCCCATTGTGACCCGGCCCGGCCGCCCGGCCCAGGCGCAGGACGCATTCTAAGACTTGTCTTCTTGGGTAGGGTTTAGGATTTAGGGTTTAGGGTTTAGGGTCTCGCAGGGGTCATTGGACCAAATCCAACTGAAAACAAGCCACCGTGCTCGGAGCCACGGCGAACCTCTCGTTGGTCAAGGACGCCAGCCTTGGCAAAGGCCGAACTGGTCTCCCCGTGACCTTGCCTCCTGAAATCCTGCACCCTGGAACCCAAATCGAGGAAACCCAAACCCTCATGAATGCAGAATCCTTCAAATCTCTACAGATTCAAAAGCCCGCAAACTTATATCCAAAGTTTGCGCTTCAGGGTCTCAGGGCGCTTGTGTACGCAGGCTGTCCGTCATGACTCAACTTCGCCGGGATTTGTCGGTTTTGGTGTTACGGCACCTGTCCCCTTACGCTCTGAAACCAAATCCTAGCGCCTTGGCCTTCATAGGCCCTAAACGAATTCTAGCAAGTTATGGTTTAGGGTTTAAGGTTTAGGACAACTTCAATTGCCGGGTTTTGTACGACATGACCCCGATTCAAGGGGAGCTTTTGACAGTCCATAAATCAGCTTTAGCATCTTCCGGTTTCGGGGCTTTGGATCCCCCGTTTCGGTTTGCCCTAAACCTTAAACCCTAAATCCCAAACCCCTAAACCCTAAACCCTAAACCGTTATGCGAGACTTGCCCGCGTCGACTTGAAGAGGGAGGCCCCTACTTTTCCACAGGCCGAGACTGCTCTGCAAGATCATGGATTTGTGCCGGCAGGAAACATAGCTTCATAGCTTCACAGCTTCACATCAAGCCCACTCCCAGCAACATAGAAAGACCGAAATCAAAAGCTTACTCGAGCAGAGTCCTTTTGCTTGTTGGCTTGAAAGCAGGATCTATAGAAACAGGCAATCAAGAGCTTGCTTGAACACTGCTGTCTTGGTTGTTCGGGTTGTCTCTGGAGCAACACAATGTAGCTTCAGCAATCCTGCGACTGTCGGATGGTCTACTGTACACATATGTACACAGAGTCCTACATGGCGCCCAAAACAACACAGCTCAGACATGTCCACTTCCGACGAGTAGTGACGGTCAACATAAGCAGGGGCCCTCGTACTTAGAACGCGATTTTGGGGTACATGGTCGTCTAATTTTCTAGGGCCAACAAGCCACACGATTGCTAACTTCACAAACCCCTGTATAAACACTGAGGGTGCGACAAGTCCTTCCTTTTCTCTTGAAGCTTCTTGTTAACCTCAACTTAAACAGTTCTCTAAATTAGGGCCCTTTTTAAGTTCCCAATATAGTACGGCACCCTTACACAAAACGGACCCCCCCATATAGCACGGCACCCCTGTAAAAAGGAGCCTCAAAGGGACTCCAACTTAGAGAACTAGCCAATTGAAGCGAGCATCAGGGTTTAGGGTTTAGAGTTTAGGGTTTAGAGTTTGGGGTCTAGGGGTATGGAGCTTTGTGGCACTTTTCTAATTCCTTCTGGGAGGTCTGTCTAAGCCGAAGAGAAGATCGACCAGTAACAGAATGCAGGGTAGCTCTTGCCCTCTTTGGTGCGAGGAGATGCTCTCCGGTTGAACGCATACCAGACCAAGAATAACTTTCCACAAGCACCCCCCCTCCGCGTGAAGTTCATGGTTCAGGGTTTAGGGTTTCGGGTACACATCGAGAATGGCGCCCCGTGGCCCTCGTGGAAGTGAGTGCATCCAAGATAGCGGATAGCGGGAGCAGAATTGAAGCGGCCAAACCACTAAACCCTAAGCCGCTAGACCCTGAACCCTAAACCCTAAACCCTGAACCCTAAACCCTGAACCGCCAAACCACTAAACCCTAAACCCTAAACCCCAAGCCGCCAAACCACTAAACCCTAAACCGCTAAACCCTAAACCCAAAGAAGACCTGGCACCAAACCTCTGAGCCCGCAAATCGGAACAGGCAGGTTTCTGGGAGTCTTTAAAAGCTTTAGGGCTTAGGGGTCTAAGAGCTTTAGGGTTTGGGGTTTTTATGTGTTTAAGGGTTTAGGCGCTTAAGGTTTGAGGCTTTAAGGGTTTAAGGGTTTGGGGGTTTAAGAGCTTTAATGTTTGGGGCGTTTACGTGTTTAAGGGCTTAGGCGCTTAAGACTTTAGACCTTTAGGGGTTTAAGGGCTTAGGCTCTTTAGGGTTTAGAGGGGTTTAAGAGGCTTAGGGTTTAGGGGAAGGATCCTGGGGTCTCTGTTGTAGTTGAGGAAGGGACCCTAAGGGAATAGCATTGGTCAATACTTAGGGTTTAGGGTTTAGGGGTTTAGGGCTTAGGGTTTAGGGTTGGTCAATACCAGGCGTCTTTCTTGCTCCCATGATCCAGGAACTTTACCTACAGGTCCTTCGTTACGTAGGGTACGGGGCGCGAAGCCCCAAGCCCTAGTTCCACAAGCTGGAGGACTCTGAATCGACCTCTTGCAGAATGCTTGCTTGGGACTGCTCTGTTTTCCTGAAGAAACTCTAAACCCTAAACCCCTAAACCCCAAAACCACCAAACACTAAACCCCCAAACGCCGAAACCCCAAACCTAAATCCACGAGCGCCATGCCCTTGGGGCTCGAAACCGCATACACTCTACGCCCGAAGCTCCTAAACCCCATAGATCCTAAACCCTATATGTAGGGGCCTTAACAATCAGAAGAGGGTTTTGGGGCCCAATCATACGATAACTATACTAAGGACCCCCCCCCCAAAAAAAAAAGGTATAGGAAATTGTTGAGGCCCCTATATTACAAACCCTCAACCCAACCCTAAGCCCTAAATGATAAGGAACCCAAACCAAAACAGTATAGGTAATTATTCTAAGGCCCTCTGTAGTATGGGTAAACTATATTTACAAGAAGGAACCCCCAAAACCCTTATTCGAATAGGTAACGATTATAAGGCCCCTATATTAGACCCATCCAGCCCCCAAATAGGTAACTCCTTCCGAAACCCTAACCCCTAAACCCTAAATTTTAAGCTTTTAGGCACCAAAACATCAAACCCTCAAGCCCCCAAAAAGGTAACTCTTTCCTAAACCCTAAATTTACGTATGTAGGCCCCCCAAAAACTCAGACCCTCAAGCTCCAAACCCCAAACCCT